TGTTGGCCTAAAGCTGTAGGGAATTGCCTTGGGGCTGACTGTTGAATTATGCGGATAGACCTCGATGTACCCTTGCTGAATTTTCGTCATGATATGATCATGATCAGAGCATAAAACCATGCTTTGAGATAATTCACAAAACACAAAGACAAAAAATAGCCGGTTCTAATCTTGCCTACTTTGTATTGCATAGTTTTGTCTGCTGAGACACCCCATGACTTGGTTGGATATTCTATGCCTTTCTTAAATATTAGATGAAAAATGAAGTGGCTGCAAATAGAGCGTGAAACGGATGAAATGTGAAAGAATCGAATTCCCCCCAAAGCACTTATATGTTTGATTATGCAACGTTGACGCATTTGATCGCGTTACATTGAATGTGTGTTGTGTACATGCAATGCTCTTGAATTGGGTTAGACGTGAGAACCAAAAATAGATTCATACCTAATCAAGCCTCCCTCTTCAAAATCATATCCAACAACCACAAGTAATTTCCACCTAATTTCATATACCATTGGTTCCTAAACTTTTCCTAATCGCAGGCCCTTTTTTAATTACATTTTTTCCATGGCGCCCTACCCTAAGTATGACTATTCGTAAGAGATAAAAATAGATAAAATTCGTGTATCTTCATATTTTTTTACTTTATTAAAATTAAATTAATATTAATTAATTAATGTGATGGAGGAGCCTGCAAATCACTGCACATTTTCTCAAATTAAAGCTTTTACAATATTTAGCGGCGCCCATGTAAAGAGGCCGCGGCTCCGCGGCGCACAGTTTGGGAATCACTGTCTTACACTAATTCCTTGTATTCAGGGTGGATGTTTTTTATTTATATAGCTTCCTTAATTTTCCGCGTGGGTATAGTCCCCATATCCAGCTAAGCGTACGGCATTAGACCGGTTCATCTGGTGCCCTATGTAAGTTGTATTGGGAAGATTCCGGTTATTTGACCCACAAACCCCCGCGGGCTGTTTTGTGTTTAGATAACCTCGTATGTGCGGGTTAAAAAGTCTCTCCTGCATAGGCGCTATGGCATTAACACAAAATATTGTAACAACCCAATCTGAAGAGAGGTTCAAAATATTATCAAAAAGAAATAATTACAGAGTAATTTCTCTTTATAAATAGTCCTGAGTTCCCACCTCGGTAATTCGCTTATCATCGAGAGAGATTACAAAATGACAACATAAAGAGTATTTTAATGGCCTAATCTTTTATCTAGCTCCAAATAAGTAAGTCCCTTCATCCTATTAGACAATATTCTAAAATAATTGTCAACCAATCGTCGTGGATCATTGTTCGCAACCAAGAGTCACCTTAATCGTCTCAATTTCAGGTCCGAATGATTAACATCTGCCAGAAGCAGGCTTCTTATTATCATTAACCTCATGACTCCTGACTTAATTCCATAATATTAGATGTATTCACCCAATTTCGTTTTAAGGTGATGAAGGACTGGTAGAAGAAGAATTTTCCCACAATGATATGAGTTGAGCTGACGTTTCCATTGCATAGCCTTGCTTTCACAAAAGTTGTTCTCATCTACGGTGGACTGTAGTTTCGACCTCGCATCGGTCTTATCAACACCCCCAGTCGGGAGTCGAACCGCGACAGTGCAGGATCGAAAATTGACACGCTAACCACTTAACTACACCGCCACGAGCGCCTTCTGAGTCACAGGGCAAATGTGAATTTTCAAGGAGGGCCGGACCTTTTTGCCATATCATATTCATTTGGTGGAATTTTCGATGAAGCAAACGTATATCTACTATCACAATCAACTACTATACTTTATTTTTCGAATAAAGTATTGTTTTTTGTGTCTACCAGTAAATCAGTAATATGAGATGTATTCATCCAATTTCGTTTTAAGGTGATGAAGGACTGGTAGAAGAATTTTCCCATATTATGAGTTGAGCTGACGTTTCCATTGAATTTCCTGAAAAATAATTATCCTTTGGGCCTTATTAAGAATAATATCTCTCCACTAAGGAATAAATTTTCAGACAAAGACCATTTAGTCAAAAAGAGACAGATTGAGACCTTTTCACATGCCCTAATTTTGCCGTCATGCTTTCTCTCAAAAAAGATAGGCGAATTTGTGAAGAAGTGGGGCATAAAAACAGTGTTAAGGAAACCCTTACACTTTCTTCTATTATGCCATCTTTTAGAGAGAAATATGACCCATTATCGAAATCCGGCTGCAACAAGATTGTTTGCTCATGTGGTCAATGTTATGTTGGTGAGACTAGCCGACCTATTCTACAAAGATTGGTAGAACACAAAAATGCTTGCAAAAGTAGCTGGATCCAACGGTCAGAAATGGCCGAACACATGGTAGAAACTGAACATGAAATAAACTGGTCTCAAACTAGTAGGCTTGCTGATTATAGTACGTCTGTAGTTAAAAGAAAGATAAGAAGCTATTGAAATTAATAGCTTAGGAAATACGCTCATCAAATAAACTAGACGTGCCAGATTACGCAGACCCAGTCATGCCTTTCCAAGGGGGGATGAACGTTAATGACTCTATACTGAGAGGTTAGGACAAATGGTTTCGTAACTTAGCTTGCATGCTTACAAGCTTACATATAATTAGCTCAGCTATATTTGCTTACGGACTTACGCAGTCTCAGTCAGGGCCTTCTTTGAGGTCATTAGGCCTTGGTGATCAGAGGCTAGCATTAACATTTTGATAACTCTGATTTAGGACCGATATTGCGTATAGACGCTAACACACACACACGCACACACTCGAGCAAAAGTAGCAGCACCAGTATGAAAGAAAATTAGCCAAACCACTCTATATCGATGTAGGTTTTTAATTTTCTTTTGGCCTAACTGAGTCTATATAAGAGGTAAGATAGAGCCGGATAGTCTTATTGGCCCAGTGTTAACGTAGGAATTTTACAAAAATGATACCCAGCTCTGATGATGTCCATCATATGATGGGCGAAATCTCAGCACTCTTTTACCCGAAACGAGGGGGGAAGTCTCGTACTCTGCGTCAACATGAATATTGTATAAAAACCAAACGGCTACAGTACAACGAGATTCATCCGTCCTAATCTGGTGAGATCGACCAACGAATCTCTTCTTCATACACTCATACGAAATGAAGGTCCCCCTAACAATACATCTAAATAGGCACGGTAAAAATTGTGACAGTCAAGGCGTGATAGGAGGATATAGGAAATGTAAATAGCCCAGGGCAGAAAGGGAGATACCACAACTGCTTAGCACA